ATTTGGACCCCGAAGGGTTAGACCAAGTAAACTGAGGTGCTCCAAGAGGAACCTCAATAAGATCCGCATCCAGAATGAACTGATTAAAGACCTGAGCGGACGAAGCACAAAATTGCAATCCATATCTCCCTGAAGCATCCCGAACTTCATTGAAATCACCCATGACAATAACCTCGACATATGTAGCTTCAATCATAAGAAGAATAAAAGATTAGATGTGTTTCTTATCATTAATTGGAATACTTGATGACTTTTTTTAATTAGTAATATTTATTAGCGTAATCTTATTATTTGAACTTTATACAATGAAATATGATTTTGCATGTTTTTGGTATGATTTGAATAATCTTTTTTTGGTTGTAACATTTAGATTATGTACTTTGTTCAACTTATTGGTATATGTCTTTAAAATTGTTCTTAATTTATTTTGTGTACTTTATTTAACTTCTTGGTATGATTTTAGTCGAAATACCTTTTATTTATCTTTTAATATATTGGTATGATTTAAAATAAATTTTCAAGCGATCATTTTTTATGTTTAGTATATTTATCATTAATATGGATGCACTTGCTTTTAACGAGGACATAACTTCATATAGGATGGTTTGGAGACCAAACATTAGGTTTGATGGAGAGTTTCACCACCAAACATGTATTGGTTTCTCGAATTTTACTTTTGATAACGATTTCATGCTATTATAGTATTATGTTAGTTTTTTTGGTTATTTTTTGGATTTTTTTCAATATTTTATATCACTTACTCCCCTTGTTTGCAGGTTCTCAGACCTGTACGCTTCTTTGAGAAGTACTCATGTATACATCTTGCTGCACGTTATCACTTACTTTCCCTTTGTTTGCCTAATTTTACATGTTACCGTTGTGTTCTTACCATATGTCATTTTTGTGACACAATCGATCTCCATTAAATGTTGACAATGAATGAAGAAGTCTACCTCCCACCTACCGTATTCTAATGGGAAACCTGCGGATTATTGTCGTTGTTGATTTATCATTAATATGATCGGGCTCGGTTTAGGTATCGCACGGTAGGAAAGTATGTATTTTCTTTTCTTTTTTCAAAAATTTCATAAATAATCGTATTTCTCTTATGTAATCATCACATAATGAATTAGTGATTATTAAGGATAACATGGAAAATACTTTTCAAGAGTAACAGAAGTTCAAATAATGCCTAAAGTAGATAATAGTTGCAAAGGAATCGGGTGCAACGTGCTCTGAAATGAGTCATTTAGCTCGATCGCCAAAAACGAACCCCTTTCCTTGTAACATCCAAACACCTAGTAACCCGTTTAATTTAATGGTATTCCTTTTATTTGAAAATCATTATTTTGTTATTGCAATTGCTAATTCAGTTTATTTTCTTACAAATTTTGACTAGTCCTAACTCCTAAGTGTTTTTCTTTGGGATAACGACCTAAAATAGTAAGATTGTTTTTGTTTTATACAAGTTTAGTCTTTATCGTATTTTTCGTGCAAAATAAATCATTTAACTTGTTGTTTTGTCTATATTATGTCCTTATGACATGTTGTTGTAGGTTTCCGGCCAAAAGATGGATTTTCTGGCGACTTTGGCTTCTTCGTTTATCTTCCCTGCGATATATGATTTTTCCGAAAATTTAAGTTTTTCTGGCGACTTGTTTTTCTTGGTGAATAAGTTTCTTATGCCTTATTCTTTCTTATCATTTCTTTCCCATGTATGCAACATCCTCTTCTTTTCTTCTTTCTTTTCTTGCTCTCAATTGTTTTAGCTATAGTTCACGAAGGTTTGGAAGGAGGCGGTAGATGATGACCAAGAAAAGGAAAAATGGTGGTGAATGGTAGTGAAGGTGTTTCTGGTGAGGAGTTCTTCGACAAGCATAATGTATTTGGTGTTGTAACACCCTGTTTCAAATAGTTTCATAATTTGGGGCCATGACCCGAAGACCGGTTATCATAAGGCTTCGGGCCTTGGGGGAAAAAGAGATTTAGACCCCTTTGGATGTGGGTAATGTATATTAGGTGATCTGAGAGTTCGGTTGGTGCTTTTGGAGCCCAAGGGTATAACCATAAAGTGCTAGTTCGAGCCTTTTATGAATTTTAGATGTAAGTTCGGTAAGTTTGAAGGAAAAGGAGAGTTAATATGACTGTAGATCTTCTCAACACCTTTCTTTGGATATACAGATCGTCGAAATCGAAGTTGAAACGAAGAAGTTATGACTGTTCGAAGTCGGAAAGGATTTGGGGGAAAACTGATCTCACGACATGAGCAGTTGGAGCTCACGACGTGAGAAGCGATTGAATGGAAATGCTGATTTAAACTGTGCTCATGACGTGAGCATTAGGGGATCACGACATGAGAACTGTACAACCCAAGCCTAAGAGTTTTTAGGGTTTTCAACATATATAAGGGTTGGTTCCGTGTTTTTAGGGCATTTATGAGCCCCCATCATATATAGATCATCCTGAGAGAAACCCTATCCGCCCTTTCACCATTTTGAGCCTCATCTTTCATTTTTCATCCATTTATGAAGATTTTGCTGCTTTGAAGAAGAAGAAGATGTTCTTTGTGCTTAGATCCAGCAAGCAAGTTCCATCACCACCTTAAACATCATACCTTGTACCATGGTAAGTCCTCATGTTCCAACCTATATGTGTTATTCTTATTGATCTAGACTCTTATGTCTTTTTTTCATGTTGGATGTGGTTTGAGTGGTTGGATTCCATAAAGTTGGCAACTTTATGGATCCATGAGGTCCCTTTTGAGGTTTGGTGTGCTAGATCTATGGTTTGGTTAAGTTTTGGTCCCATGAATGAGATTTGGATCTCATTTTCACCATTTTGACCTAATCAAGTTCAAGACATGCATTGGACATGCATGTCCATAAAGCAAAGATTTTTATGTTGCTTTTGATGTATGAAAGCCCTTTGGAAAGTTGGAATGAATGACTTATTGGATTGAGGACTTAATACATTAGGATTTAGCATCAGACATAGCTCACGATGTGATGCAGGGAGTGTCACGACGTGAGAGTGGTTTTTACATGATTGTTTCGACAGACTGAGCTCACGACGTGACCAGGGAAGGTTCACGTCGTGAGGTCTGCTGAGTGGGTCATCCAGGACCGAGTTGAAGCAAGTTGAGTTGGAATTTAGCCGAGTGCGTTCTCACGACGTGACTAAGGACTGATCACGACGTGAGTGTCAACTGATGGAAATGTTGACTGTTGACTGTTGACTTAGACCGTTGACTTTGAGTGTTGACTTTTGGTCAAATTGCTAGTTTTAGAAGGTGGACTAAGGGTTTACCTTGTATGGTTTGTTAGGAGGTGTATGTCACCCGTTCTTTGGCTGTGTGAGCTGTTAGCTGTGGATTTTGTCAGCAGGGTGAGTTTTCTCACTGTGTTTAGCGAATCGATGACACCAATGCTGACCCATGGTTTTATTATGTTAGGATGCTAGATGTCTGCGTGACTCTTGCATGTGTATGTGTTTGTATGCTTACCAGGCAAGGCCCGATGGCGGGCGGGGCCCGATGACCATTATGTATGCTATTTATCTTTGTGATTATTGCATGTGTTGTGTGTTTATATGTTTGTATGTTTATATGTATATCAGGCGGAGCCTGATGACTGACAGATCTGTTTACCGAGAGGGGCTCGATGTCGTGCGGGGCCATTATATGTTTGATATGTATGGTATGTGGTATGTTGGGGAACTCACTAAGCTTTGTGCTTACGATTTTTAGTTTATGTTTCACGTACTTCTGTTTCGAAAGGGAAGAGCTCAGGATGACTGCATTGCACACACCGCATTATTCCGCATAATACATGACTCGGATGTACTTGGATGTTTATTGATACACTCTGATTCACTATGGTTTTTATGATATTGTTTTGGATAATGGTTTTATTAATTTATAAATCAAATTTTTTAGTCTAAATTTTTGGGACGTTACAGGTGTGATGGTTAGTTGTAATGGAGGCTCGGTGGTGCAGGTGGTCGGCAGAGTTGGTGATGACAGGAGGTTGTTAGGGTTGTGGCTGATAGAGGTTGTGGGGTTCGAAAGGGTGCATAAGGTGGCAGTGAAAATTGGTTCTCGGTGATGCAGGTTTCGATGAAGGGGTGATATAGGGATGGTTGGATGGTATAAGGGTGGTAGGTTCGATGAAGGTGTTCTCGATAATTTGTTCTTGCAGGAAAAATCATGTATTGTTGGAAAAGATGACCGAAAGTTCACCGGAGATGCCAAACTTGCTGGAAAATCCATATTTTGGCCGGCAACCTACAACATGTTATAATGACGTAATGTAGACAAAACCAACTAGTTAACTGATATATTTTAGGGAATAAAGCAGAATCAACATTATAAGGTCATCCAATTCTATAAATACTTTTTCCGTATTCAACTGAAAAGTATTCAATACTAACAATGTTTGTTAGTTCACTTCATCGTGAAAGATATCAGGAGTGTCATCTGATCGACACTTCTCGCGTTTTGACACCACGTTCTGACACCCGAGGCGTTATACATACCGTTTAGGTTTCGGTAAAATTACATAAATCGTCCATGTACTTTGATCCAATCTTGAAGTTTCAACCACAAAATAACTTTTTCACTCTTACAATCTATATGGTTTAGTTGTTATTCGATTTTGGTCATAAATTGTTAAATATAAGCCCATTTTATGTAATCTATGTATTTGGTGTATGCATACGGTTCGTATAGTCCAGCCCTACAAAGGCCCATGTTATTGTATTTGTCATGTATTTATTGATGTAATCCTGTCATTTTGAAGGAATGGAAAATATTTTCTATCATAAAATAAAAAAAGTACTAAGCATATACAAAACGAAACAATCTTACCTTTTAGGTTATTTTCCTTTTTTTTTTTTAAACGTTTTTTCCGAGATAGTTTTAGTGAAATTCTCAACGTATAAGTGTAATAACTATATAGCCTTTTGTTTATGTTTTATTTATCGAAATATTTTTTACTATAGTATATCCATTTGCAAAATTGTCACCTTTATCCAGGTACAAATTATAGTTATTTCTATATATAGAAATGATACAAAACTTACACCTATACACTACCATGTCATCCATGTTAAACCTCACCCACTGGTGGTCGGTGTTGTCACTCCACTACCAGTGCTATGCCATTTAGCCGTCACCGTTATCGGCGACGCCATGACCACATCCACCTCTTTCAACAGTACCACATCTTCCGTTTCCGGCGAAGCCGGTGGCATCTGAGCCTTTCCGGCGTTCAAGTTCAACTCTCCGACACTGTTATCACCATCCCCTTGAATCCCCTTCAAAAACTCCAACACCTCATTCATCGTAGGCCTCGTTTCCGAATCAAATTGCAAACACCGGAACGCCAATTCCGCCACCGATCTCGTCATCCTCTCTGTCTCAGAATCGGATCCTAAAACCGGATCAATCAGCTCGTCTAGGGCACATCTCTGGATCCGATTTATCGCCATATACGCGAGACTAATTTCATCTCTAGATCTACTAATGTCGATAGCAGGCATTGAAGATATCAATTCGATTAAAACCACTCCGAAGCTGTAGACATCGCTCTTATCTGTTAACTGGTAACACTGGTGGTATTCCGGGTCGACGTAACCCGGTGTCCCTTGAGGAGCAGTGGATACGTGAGTGACGTCGTTTGGTAACAGCCTCGAGAGTCCGAAATCGGCGACTTTGACGCAGAAATTGTTATCGAGGAGAATGTTGTTCGTTTTTACATCTCGATGGATGATTTCGGAGGCGTGAAGGTATGCTAAGGCACTTGCGGTTTCTACTGCTATTTTCATTCGATTCGGCCACGTCAGCGGGCTCTGTTTTGCCCGGTCGCCGTGGAGGTGGTCGGCGACTGTTCCGTTGGCGATGTATTCATACACCAGGAGGAGTTCGACGCTCCGGCGAGATGTGCAACCGTAGAGGGATACGAGGTTTTTGTGGCGTAATCGAGTGAGGATTTCGACTTCGTTCATGAATTGTTGGACTCGCTTGTAATTATGCTCGTATAATCGCTTCACTGCAACTTCTCTTCCATCACGGAGTTTACCTAGAAGAAAAAAATCAATCAATTCCAATTCCATTCCCCAAAAGCAGTGCTGCGTTTGAATCATGAAATGGTGGTGGATTTTTACCGTAATAAACGGTACCGAAACCGCCGTCGCCGAGTTCCTGTGAGGAGTCGAAATTTTGGGTGGCGTCTTGGAGTTCGGCGTAGGAGAAAAGCGAGACACCGAAGTAGATGCTGCTGCCTTCAAGGTCTCGGGAATATGCAATCGCTTTGCGGTGGTTGTGGGCTCGCCGGATTATGAAAATGGCGGCGGCAAGAGTAACGATGAACGCAAATCCAACGGTAACTAGATTCATATTAAAATATTAAAAAATTAAAGCCTGAGTAGGGTAAATGGGTTATTACTTCAAATTTAGGGGTGTTCTAGATTGCTTTTTGCACTCTTTGTACAAAAATGTTTATGGTGAAAAAATAAGTTTTTAAAAAATGTAATTGAATTAGTTTTTTGTATAGACAAAAGTCAATAAATCAATAGTTGTTTTTTAAAAAATGTTTGACAATAATATAGAAATTGACCAAAAGGATTAGGTGAGTAAGTTAAAAGGGTATTTTTTTTTTAGGGTTATTGGTTTTTGAAAAACTAATAAGTCAATAAGTAAGTCAATAAGTTGTTTTGAAAACAATCCCAAATACCATTTAAATTATATATTTTGATTTTGTCCAACCTCATGACAACTTTCACAAACAGTTGGTGATGCTAGCCTAGAAGCCTCTAGCCCTATGGTAGAACCACAATTACTTCAAATGTAATTGCAAAGATAAGAAATGTTGCAACGAAAATTGCAATTTTATCACCCGGTTTATATCAAAAAAAAAAAAAGTACAACATGTTATGTCATATAAACAAAGAGACATGAAAGAGATTAACTCCAAAGGTAACGTTACCTCCAATGATTATTGGTTTATAGTCTTTTCTTCCTGAAAAACAAAAACAAAACAAAACAAAACAACACGATTAGTCAACAAAAAGATGCACCAACATTATATTGCTTAAACTTGTGATAATATACACAAACGGATGCATGCATGCAAAGACACAACAAAGACTACTAGCTAACTAAAGAATTGTATAAGTTCGGACTAGAGCGTGCCACTACAAATGTGAATGAGTGAAAAAACATGAATGTCCTCTTTTAGTCTCATCAACTATGATTGTCCTAGAAATATTGTATAGTCAAGTCCAGTCCAATCTAGTCACGTCTCATGTAACAAATGTACGCAGTTGAAGAACTTGACCTCTATGCCTATGGTGACACCCCCAACGATTATAACACGGTTTAAACAAATTCCAAAACTCCGGAGAGAATGGAAATAAAAAACGGATAGATTCAAGGGCAGTTTGGTTGAAGGGAAGCTGTAGAATGACACAGTTCAGTGGGTGATCCTCAGGGACTCGCATGCTTAAATTATAGAACAAGTTGTAATTCAAACATTCTTCGGCCTTATTAGGAGTTGTATCAGAACGGATATACGAAGTCTCGTGTTTGAAGAAAGTGATGTTGAAAACCTCATGGTTTTGGGATTTTAGATCATGTTGATTTTGCTCAAAAGTTTTGTTATAACCCAACAAAGTACTTTTAATTTCCTCCATTAATGTGGTGTTGTTAGAGCAACCTAAGGTGAAAACATGGCATAGGTGATCTGTAGAATCTTGGAAATGGTTTATGAAAGAAGGAGGAGATTGAAGGTGTGAAGTACTCAAGGCCATAGAGGAAGCCAGAAAGAAAACAAGAACGTGAAGAAACATATTGTTGATGCATGCGTGAATGGAGAAGTGAAAATAAGGGCTCATGTATATATATAACGCACGAGAGTCATCTATGATCATACACGGCAGTTGACTGGATGGAAGACTTGAGTGTAGTTTGAAAACTTTTCATCATTTTCTTAGTATTGACTGCGTTTAACTATCAAGCTTCCTAATATGTATTGGGCCGGAGATTTTCAATTTACTTTTTTTTTCAAGTCACAATTAATTACTTGTAATTGCACAAGCTACTTGTCTCTATATTTTTTTAGTTTAATAAAAAAAAAGAAAAAAAAGGTAGTAATTTGGTAGCGTATATATATATATATATATATATATATATATATATATATATATAATATATATATATATATATATATATATATATATTATAATAGTGCAAATTTATTATATTCAATGTTATTATTGCAATATAGAAAATAATAAAATACTACAAACTAAAATTGATGAGGCGGAGAAGTTTTTGATATAATAAAGGAAAATCTCTGATAAAATCTCAATATTTTGGTTCTGTATATGGTTTAATCGCCATTTTTATTTTTTCAACAGAAAAATCTCGAATATTTTATATTTTTCCTAAACTAATGAAACAATTCTTATTTTTTTTTCAACATAAAATGACAGATTATTGTACAAAATTAGATAATCGAGACTTTTCTGTTCAAAAAAACAAATATTGAGATTAAACCATAGACTGACCAAATATATTAAGACTTTATCGGAGATTTCCCTATAATGAACTTGTTAAATGTTATGTTTTGTAATATAAAAAATAATAAAATGATATAGATGGATATTATTTAAAAGCTTAGCTAAAATGAATGGTGAAAACACAATGATGAGAAATATCCATAAAAGTTTTTATTTTAATATTCATAAACAATTAACTGATTAAGCCTTGATTTTTTTTAACAGAAAATAACAAAAACCTTGTAATTGTTTACACATTTGAGACTAACAAATCAAACAACTGGTAAAAGCAAAATACGGTGATTTTTTTTCTTAAAAATAAGCTCAATTAAAAGTATTTTTTACTAAAAAAACGACTAATAATATAATAATATTTGAATTTAGTTTATTATCATACTATAATCAGATAATATTTTTTGTGTCTTACAGAAAGTATAAATTCTCTAATTTTACTACGTTTTCTCCATAAAAGTTATTTTAATGCTACTATATTCTATCGTTATTTTAATTTTATTATATTAACTTGGAAGATTTGTTTGTGAGGCATCTTGGAGCGGGAAATAGAACCTACTTTTGGAAGGACAAATGGTGCAATGGCGTAGTGTTGAAAGATGTTTTTCCAGAACTTTATCATATTGAAGTGCAGAAAAATTGCATGTTTCTTAACAAAATTCAAAACAAAGGTCTAGATGAAATTCATCGGGAGTGGTCTAAAAATCTAAGGAGAGGAAGGGAAGCGGCAACTTTATTAGATTTAAACAATAAAGTTGCCGGTGTGATGTTGACAAACATAGAGGATTCATGGGTCTGGAAAGGTAACGAGACGGTGGTTTTACAGTTCAAAATTTGTGTAAGTTGATGGCTACAGTGGAAGAGGTCTCAGACATGTGGTAAAAACCTTGATGTTGAATAAGAAAAGAAAAATATTGCTATGGGCCCTCTTATAAGTATATGGAAGATTATAAATGATTTAGTTTTCAAAAGTTTCAGGAATAGCCCAATGAAAACAACGGATGATATTAATCTCTTTCAATTAGTTGAAATATAGAGAGATGTTTAGTTCTTTAAATTGATTTTACTGGTGAAATTCTTCTATTTCCCTTGTTTATATGTTGCAACTTTTCTAAAAACTTGCTAGTTTCGTTTTAATGTGATTCCGCAATTAAAAAAAATCTTTCAATATAGCAAATGATATCCTTTTTTATTAAACTACGGACAAAGTTATTTGGTATGAAAATAACGATTTTGTTGATTATCCGAAAGATAATACCACTTTTAAGACAATGTTTATTATTATTATTATTATTATTATTATTATTATTATTATAAAAATTAAATATTTACTGTAACTTTTATATTTTTATATTTACTATTTTTTAGTTTGGTTTTACAGTAAAATAATACTTATTACCATATGCCAATGAAGAATACAATAAAATTATAGTAAAATAATATTACTGGTAAAACAAAAAATAATAATAATATCGTTACCGTAAGCCAAGACATTATTTCAATCAAGGAAAATACAATAAAATTGTATTTAGATTATATTACACTAAGATAATATTTATATGTCTCACTCCAAATTTATATGTCTCACTCCAAATTATCTGGACCAAATCAGTAAAACTACTATAAAATTTAATGACATTAGTTTGCCCAATATTATATTAGGATAATAAAATGAGATTAAAATTAGATTAACAAATAGTCATATTCAGAAAACCTATTTTTTTTTTAACATATTTGTGAAAAACCAATGTTTTCTATTTAAAAAAAAAAGAAAAGGAAAGAAAGAATTATTTGACCGGTTGATGACTTGTTTGTTAATATCCCATTTATGTATACATTTACAAATTTTTTGTTATTTTTTTGTTCAAAGAAAATATAAAAACTTTGCTGAATATTTTCTTTAGTGATATCCAATAACTTTACATTGCTTTTTTAAATAATCCATTTTAAATTTTACTCAATATGACAACTAACTATTTTTCTATTTATATTAAGTTATATGAAGAGATTTCAACCACGTAAACTCATATTTAATCCTGAATGACATCTAATATAGCAAATTTTGTATAAATTACGTCCACATGGTGTTCATGTGAATATTTTTCTAGAATTCAATATTACGATTATAATTATTTTTTATTATTAAAATAATTAATAGATAAATCAATAACATTGGTTCATCTTTTTCATTAGATTTGTGTTGCCAAGAAAGAAATGAAAGCCCATCATATTTAGTTATTTACAACGAAACCCTAATTCTATTGATTATTATTATTATAATAACAATAAATAATTATAGTAAATTAGTAACTATAATTATAATGTTAAAACTTTTAAGCTATCCATATAGACACAACTGATAGAAAATTTACCAAATTTTAATATCATACATGATAAAATACAAAAAAATATTGTCCTATTATATATAATTAGAAAATTAATGAAAGCTGATTGACGTTTACTGAGAATCTTGCATAAACCCAAACATAAATAAGTTGTAAATAGTCAAAAGATGAAAGACGTATCAAATATTTCAACCTCTTAAAATTATTATGATAGGTTCTTATTTTATAAATTTTGTACATATGTTTTTTTTTAAATGTTTTGATTTTTTTTTTTTTTGTGACAAACCAAAACATGTTATCAAAATAAAAATTTTGCTCAAATTATTTTACCATCTTATATAATTTTCCCTAATACATTAGTTATTATAATACTATTTTTTAAACCCGACTTAACCTCTATTAAAAGTTACCTAATAATATATTATTAACCTTTTACTCAACATAACGGACAATTCACAATCCATTATACTCCAAATTTTGATTATAACTTTTACACCAATTTACAAAAGTCAAACGATCTATTTTTCAATTTGAAAACTGGATACAAATTTACTAATTATTTATAAAATTTTAGCTGCTACGTTGAAATTACCCAAAAAAAACCCTACAAATAACGAAATTGGAGTTTGAAAATGCAAAGATTTCATGTCGACTATGAAGGACATATGCGACTAAGTCAAAGTCAAACTAGACTACTCCTAAAGCATGAAGTCTATTGTTCCAAAATGGACTAAAGAAAAAAGGCCCAACATATACAACCTCCTACCTTTTAAGCCATTTGTTTTTAAAATGTTCACATAATAAAGTCAGAAATGCAAATAATGTTTCATTCTATAGTCACATCTTTATATTTATTATAATTTATTAGACACTGTTCAAATTTGATAACACGGACAAATTTAATAATTTTTTTGACCATTTTAACAAGTTATATCGTATTCAAAGAGAATAATGGAGAAAACCCATGTGCATAATTCAAATTAAAAAAGTCAACTTTATGCAAAAGTAAAACCGACAAAATATATTGATTTTGAAAAAGACCCTACAAAATATTATGAAAAATAATCGGTAAAAGTATAGTATTGTAACATAAATTGATAAAATCTAAAATATTATTGAATAAATATGAATTTGACCAATGTCATCTAACAAAAAATTATAAAATTGGTTCGAGGCTATCATATGTTGAAATCGGTTATATAACTAAATATGTTGTTTATAAAATTGTGGAATTCGTTAGAAAAAGTAAAATATTGTTATATTTTGTTTATAAAAAAAAGTGAAACTTTGTTTACTTTTTGCATTTTTGGAGGTTACGAAGACAAAATAGATAACCTAAAAAATTGATTGCTAAAAGTAGAAAGTGTGAAAAACAATGTACAAGTTTCAAGACAATGTACAAGTTTCAAGACATGAAGTACAAGTATGTGATGCATTATTAGCAAAAAGAAAAGGAAAGTTCTTACCAGGTTTGCAACTCACCATATGAGGTCTATCGGGGCAGAAACAGCGAAATCCGAACTTCGTCCTATTGAACCCACACCGCCCTCCGCTACTCAGGCAAACACCGCAATCCGCCGCTAACCATTGCAACATGAATCCCCTTTCCATCACATCCCTATAATTACCACCGTCAACCACCAGATTCCTCCCTACTCCGCCACTTAATTCCACCGGCGTCTCCACAATCTCACTACCGTTGCCGCAAATATCCGTTACGTTTCTCAAATTCGGATCATTATCAAGCATGACAACCTCCTTATTACTTCTCTCACATGATTTGATACTGTACTTTTCCAGATCAGTTGTCAAATTACCGGAGCAGTTTGAAATGAATACTAGGTTCATACTCGAGCCGTTGTCAATCCGGAATCGGTTAGGGTCAAGCGTTAAGTTCCTGATCATCTTCGGACATGGTTCAGTCTGGTTAAGCAAAATCGCGGCGTTTTGGAGTCGGAGGTAGCTGTTGCTATATCGAATATCTTTAATTACGAACTCGTTCCCTGAGATCCGAAGCATCGCGGACTCATTGCAGTGGACCTCAAATCCAGGGTAACCACAAGAGGGATCCTGTTCGCCTTCGATGAAAAATGGATAAGTAATGTTACGCACATCTCCACAGTCTTTTGGAACACAAGCTTCATAGTTAGGATCCAAAGATAATGATTGGTGGAAAAACAGGAAAAAGGTGAAGATAAGAGTGCGTTTTTTCATTATTTTTTAAGCGATTTGCAGAGATTTGTTTGTCTGAATGTAGATAAATGGGGATGAGATGACGATGATGGAAGGTATTTTGGGGGAAAGAAAAGATAAAGGATGGTGGCGTGTTTAAATTTGACTTGGAAGCAATAATGGAGATTTTAAGTTGAATGTGACAAATATCATGTTGATACTTGATAGGTGTTTTGGGATGAGTTGAATATTGTAATCAAAAGTTGGGATAAATTTTTAAATAATAAGGAACCACATGTCGTTATTATAATAAATATAATGTTATTTTAAATAGATGCTTGCTTTTTGGTGTACATCTTTGATTTAACATGTAGCTAACCTTAACTCTATAAAAGAGTTTGGACGTCATTTGTTATAGCTTTAATTGTGAAGGGGAATTTTTTATCTACCCCAATAACACCATTTATCATTTATGTGCCAATTGAGCAAATTATAGTTGTTCTTGTGTATTTTGCCTTCAGTGAAAATATCACATCTCAAACATCTCATTTGTCATTTAGCAACTCAATAATAATACACTTGAAGGTATTTGACAAGACTGATAAAAATGTTATTTTTTTTCCAATTAATTTTAAAATATTTATCAACCTTTACTATTAGTTTGTAAATTGTCAACCAACTAATAATGAATCTTATTTTTTGGTACTTAGCCATTATAATCCCCTATTGACCTTTGTATTTGGAATTGGTCCATTTGTATGGCAACTTGAAAATACTTGGTCCAAATGAAACAACCAAAAATGTGACCCTTGCGCCTTTAAAAGTGGAACAACTTACCCATTCTGAATTTGGATAGTTGTAGGCTGAAGTCGATGAGATTTGCACTTTGCTTTTTTTTTTTTTCCTTTAAATTGTTAATATCATATGTTTAAGAGTAAATTACTGAAATAGACCCTAAGATTTGGATGGAATTGTATGTTTAATCTGTATTTTGTTCTTGTAATATACTGTTCTTATGGTTTGATCTTCTTTTGTTCTAGACAAACATGATAAGACCATATTGCCCTTACCTATATATTTTTTTAGTTTTTTGTTATTAATAATTGTTTATAGTTTAAAAAAAATAAAATAAACCCTATCCCTAATATATCTCTCAACATTATCTTATTTAAAGACTATTCCCATTAACAACTAACCAACTAAATCCAACTCAACTATCTATTTAAAAACTAATTTATCTCTTTTTCATCTACAAACCAACTAAACATAATTGAGATTGAGAGTTCAAGTTCTGTCGTGGACATAAATGGATTTAACAAGTAGTTTAGGAGTATGTTAGATTTGTCGTTTAAAAAAATCTAATTTATTATACTCATCAACAATTCAACCCAAATCAAACTTTTATATTATTTTTGATTAATTTTTATTATATTATACAAATTACATATTTTTTTTATTATTTTATAAACTTTTTTTTTCACTATTTTTAAGATTATACAAACTATATAAAAGAAATTGTTAAAAAAGTTCTTAATATGTATCAATATTGGTCTTTATTCTTAGACGAAATCATTTTATGTATTATGGTGTATTTTATTTATTTTTTTAATAAAAATAAAATAAAATTAGTTACCAAATAATAATTATCTAAAAGAATTAAAAACAAACGAATAATAACAAATGGCCGATTGAACGTTTGGTGGAGCAAACCCGTCGTGAGCTTTAGAAGAATTTTTTATTTTTTTAATCCAAATGTGGCAACCAACTAAACATTCGGTTGCCAATGGGGTAACTCTTAAGAGCTCGAAAAAAACAAAACCTATTGAACTCTGACACTATCATACTACTATAAGGGACGTCGGAGTGACTCGGGAAGAAAGAAAAATGGGCGGCGGTACTAACGAAACCGTCGGGGGAGTTGTTCCGTCGACTCGTGGGTTGGGCATTCGGCTTGCAACATGGGTGGAGAAACTCGTGATTCCTCTCAACGATTCCTGTTTTTTAAATTTTCTATTATAAATACATTTACCTACCAATTTAAAATCACATTTTTTTTCTTCAATTTCCATTCCATTCTCCTCTAATTTCTCTATATATTTTTTTAATTTCATTCCATTTTACTATATTCTCTATATTCCAATTCAAAATTTGGGAATGTATATTATTCCTATGCCATTTGTTTTTGTAGAATGGTTTGAAATCGAAGAAGTGTTGTTGTCTCGAGCATACATTGTCACTTTCAAGAATAGGCACGTTAGTCAACATAGATTGTCATATTTATGTCGATCAGTTCTAGATCATTTTAAGCAACAACTTGGAGTTTGGATTGTTCAACACATCAACTTTTCTCAAAATGGAAAGATTTGCATTGAAATATGAAAGAACTTAGTATTATTTTCACCCACAAGACGAATACTTGTGAGCCCGAAGTTTCTAATGAAGAAGTTTTAAATACAACACAAAATGAGTATCGCGAACACCATAACATGAAATATTTTCGTTATGATGCGACTTGGAATATTAAAAAAAATCATCCTTTTTTTAGAATTTAAGTATTTACTTTATCTTTCGTTTGACGTTTGTAGTATGTTTTTTTTGTTATTTCGTTTTTCGTTTTATGATTTAATTTATGTTATTGTAGTATGACTTTAATTTATGTTATTCTAGTGTGACTTTTTTAATTAATTATTAATTTTAATATTGTTTAGTATTATTTTGGTTTAAAATTACAAGTTTATTTTAAAGATTAAAAAAAATTATATAAATGTTAGGTTTTATTGTATTTTGAATCTTTCAAATAAATTAAATTAAAAATAATGATGTGGCAAGTGAGTTGAAAAACATTTTATTTTTATATCTTGTGAGTTAAGAAAGATATCATAAAAAAACTAATGTAAATAAATGTTATAATGAATTAAATGACTTGGAAGGGAACTACTCCCTTCTCTCATTGGAGGGTTTTTGGTGAGTGACTAATGAAATTTAATAGAAAAAAAAATTGAATTAATTTTGGTGAAGTAGGCCCTATATACTATCCTTTGTAACACCGCGAATTTTCAAACAAAATTGTCATTTTTAAATCACAAAAATTCTCATAATACATTACACAAAAATCCCCAATTATCAAATTAACAAAACACAAACCCATAATTGTTTGATTAATAATCCATGATCCTCCAAAACATAACTCTTTATCTCGTGTGTACAATCGAACCGTCGCCTTCCCGTGATCCTGAGAAGTACCTGAAATACAAAACACATAACACGGTAAGCACGAAGCTTAGTGAGTTCCCCAAAATACCACATGTAACACATAATAGCCACTCGAGGCTGTAACTCTGTGGACCCTCCGGTCCTAACTCTGTGGACCATCTGGTCCTAACTCTGTGAACCGTCCGGTTCTAACTCTGTAAACTCTGGAACATACACGGCATGAATCACATAGAAATAATGCAGTGTATCACAATCACATAATAGCATACAAGATACTCTGTCACATAACTCTAATTACCACTCTAGGTAAAGTATAGTGAGTAGACTCACCTCGGGTGGCGAGCAGATCCTATAAATGTTGCTGTTGTACTCCGGCTTCTAACACTGAGCCAAACCCACAATTAACCCCATTAGGATTTAAGACCAACCTTCACATATTAGGTCTAAATATGGTCCACCAATTTGGTCCATAAATAACTCAAGCCCATTGGGCCCACCAAGGCCCAATACCAAATAGGTCCACAAAAGTCCACTAATGGCCCAACTATGGCCCAATTTTCCAAATTGGGCCTAAACCCTCATTTGGGCCTTAACCCAAAGCCCATCTAAATACTCTAGTCTACATGATTGTTCTTGGATGGCCCATCAATAGCCCAATCATCAAAGCCTAATAGAAGGCTAAATTCAAGGCCCAAACCCTAATTACGGTTTCCACATGAAATGACGATTAGGGTTAGGTATTCTCACTTAACCCATTAAGGACTTGACCCATTAAGTCCATTTTTCCCACTAAGTCATCAAACAATAGAGTCAGCATGAGTCATAACTTCAGTTCACTGGTCCAGACGCGGGTCCCAATAGGCCCAAACCAACAAACCCAAAATTAGGGTTTTCCAAACCCTAATTAGAGGTTCTAGCCCAATAACCATCCAACAAGCCCAGTTCAAGCATTTGGGCCGATTAGGGTTCACTATGCCAAGCACCACCCACTACCACCCCAGGTAGTGGTGGTCATCGGCGGCTCATGGCGGCGGCCACCGCCTCACGGTGGTGGTGGGGGGTTTTCCGGCCATAAAAACGCCCAATCAACCTCATAATTTCTGAAAACAATAGCTACATTCAAGCACAAACTCATGAACACACCCGCAGCCACCTCCTATGGCGGCTGGTGGTGGTGACTTGGCAGCAGGAGGCGGCAGCCACCATGGTTGGCAGCCATGGTGGGTTTTTCTCGCCAAACTCGCACACATAATTCCCAAGAACGCAACAATCAGCAAGTATAATCGAATGCTCAATCATACAGCCACCGCCTAGGCGGCTAAAGTCGTCGGAAAACGCACATAGCGCCCCCCCACGGCCACCGACGTCAACATCGACGTTTCCGGCATCGGTACCCACAGAAAGCAGCGAGGGAGAGAAGAATAATGGATTGCTGATGGGCTAACCACGCATTTCCGGTGACTCACGGCCTGCACAACGACGCACAACGATTTTCGCCCGGTCCTCGGCGTTTCTCCGGCAGCATATGTCGCAATGGCAACGTTCGGTGGTCTCGTGGCAGCGACGTCGGAGCAGCGACGGAAGGATGGGTGGCGGTTGGAGCTATAAGTGGCGGCTGGAGTCTTTGTCTAGGTTTAGGGTTACCAATCTCACATGGTGACGGGTTAAGAGCACCGGCTATACCCGTGTTTCATTACATTTCTAGACTTTTACAAGATCAGCCCCTCCTCACCATATATTTTTCAACTTTAACCCACAATTTCCCTTTTAACCCCCTGAATCCATAAATTCATTACAATACAGGTCCTACAAATTACCAAATAACCCCTGACCTCAGAAATCTTTACGAATTGAATCCGGAAATTACCCTTTAGCCCTTGATTCCAAAAAATATACTCGATTTAAGGCTATTACTCATTTATTAATTTCACATATTGATTTA